TTTAATTTCTTGGTCTTAAAACTTGTAAGGCCTGGAGAAGATGATTGATTCTCTATCTTTAAAGTAAATCAGCTTAAAAATACTCTTTATTAAAGAACAAAATTTTGTCTTATTTTCCCTCCATTTTGGCTAAGTACTAAATTTTGCTTGCTTTCTGTGGTCCTGGTTTCTCCTTTTCTCCCCACACCTGTCTGAAGTGTCCTTACAAAGACCATGCAAGCTGAGTATATGTGTCAACCAAGTGACAGAGGACCTTGCACGTCTGCCTCCATGTCTGTACCTGGAGAATTTGGATTAGCTCATAATCTAGTCCCAGATTTGTTGACTTCTCTGACCAGGGGACATACCTGAAAAGTGTGGCTCAACTGTTGATGATCCCTTTAATAAAGGAAATGCTTATTTTGCCACTGCCTTCCTCAGCCCTCTTATGTTTCATTCATGTCCTCTCCACTTGACGGAAACAGCAATGAGGCTGGTTCGTCAGCTGCTTGTGTTTTGTAGGCTGTGACTGCTGCCTACAACCACGTGCTACCTGTTAGAGTAGCACGTGGTTGATGTTCAGTCTTTTAAAAGTTTCATATAGGTAGGTGAAGTGAGACCTTGAAGGTCAGGGAATTCTACGAATCATGTCAGGGTAGGAGGGATGTGGTGAGGAGATGATACTTAAATTGGGAAGGGAGTTCCCTAGGGTCACAGGTGAAGTGCAGGTTGGGGGTTGGAGGAAAAATTTTGGGGATCTGGTGGTGGTAAAAGGATTGCAGGAAGACTCCCCTAGGGGAAGTGGGAGAGGTCAGCTGAAGGTGACATTCAGATGGGGCACCCAGTGGTAGGTGATAGCCGTGGTGGGCAGAGAGGTTTTGCTTGCTTCTTTGCCAACATACACACACACACACACACACTCCCCCCCCCCCCGCTCCCCCGCTCCCCTGCCCCATGCATGGTGACTGCTGTTGGGCATAGCTGTCTGCACAGGACTGGGGGGATGTGCCTGAAGAGAAGAGGACTTATCCCCAGGAAAGTAGGGGCGGGGGGAGAGGGAGGTCTATGGGGCCCTAGGCTGTGGAGGAGAGGAGAGCCAGCTGACATGTTAGTGTAAAAGAAACACCCCATGGGGGTGGCTGACAGCCAAAGCCAGGCTGCCTGGCCACCTGAAATTGAGGGAGGGCGGCTGAGGGCAGTGGGGGGGTGGATGCACCTGGCTGCTGGGGCACACACACCTGTGAGGTTGTAATGAACTTTGCCATTTGAGAGGGGGTGGGACACGGATTCTCTGAATAACAGGAACTGGGAAAGCAAGGACCCAGCCTCTGCTTCTGAAAGCCAACTGGGGAGCAACAGAAGGAGCTGTGGACTTGGGTTTAAATCCTTTTGAGGCACTAGCTTTTTCTCATGTGAAATGAACAGTGACTGCTGTGTCACAAATGCTGTTGCATGAAGACTCTTGGTGACATTCCATAGTTGTTGAGGTGGCCAGGGGAAGTGACAGCAGAAGGTGACCCAGAGGTTCCCTTTGAGAATTAGGGTGTGCAGTTGCCTGTATTTTCACAGGGTGGAGTGTTGACATTCACCAGGCCAGGTGCACTGTGAGTGAGATTTGTAGTACTGCACTGTCTCTTTTCCTTTCACAGGGTGGCATGATGACTTTCACTGGGCCAGGTGCACCATGAATGAGACTTGTAGTGTTACACAGGCACTGCCCCCCTGTACCAGCTTTCTGGCCATGTAGAGTCAAGAGTTTTCACTATGTGGACTGTGTCATCCTTTCCCTGTGTTTTTATCTAATCTTGTCCCAGAGTCTGTCCTTAATGTTCCCCTGGGGCTGTAAGTTCATGCTTCTTACCCCGTGACACCTAGTGCACAGGACATCTGGGTATGTGCTTGATCTTTGTGGAAGTCTGAGATGGCCTCAGTCTCTAGCCTGACCATTGGGACCAGTGACTTTGGCTTTGGAGAAGGTGAAGGATATGACTGTTGCTTGGAGTTTGGTAGTGGGGCCAGTGAGTGACAATCAAGTATACAAATGGGGGTACATCAAGTGGTCAGGAGGCAAAGCCTCACCCAGGCCTGGGAAAGGCTCTGCCCACCCACTCACATGGTCTGTAGTTTGACATTTGCTTTACTGCTTCAGTCCAGGTAGGGATATCTGCGTTTCTTTGACAGGCCCTACAAAGTTACCAGCAGCTGTCTGGGCAGTGGTCCAAGTTTCCATGGGGCTCTCAACAGAACCAGCTTTCCCCACCCTTTGATTTTAAAAACAGAGACAGGCTCTTGAGAATACTGAGGAGTTTCTCAAGCCTCATTTTGGTCGTTTGACAGTCCTAACAGTACCTGGAGGTTCTTAATAAGGTCCATGTACAGGTTTTAGGAAGCCATCAAAAAGAGATGTGTCATATGGGTATAGTATTTGAATGAATTCAATCTCTCCTTGAATTCACCAGGAAGGTGTCCGAAAGGTCCATTTTTAATGAAAGTGGATAAAAAGTAAAATGGTGCAGTTGAGAGTTTTTCGTTGACCCTTCTCGCATGTTTTAGAGGGACTATTGGGAAGTGACTCTAGATGGAGGGAGGCAGACACATGCAGAGTGGCTCACTGAGGTGACATGGGACTTGACATGTCTGAGTTGTACAGATGGAACAGGTTTTGGTTTTCCTGTGTTGCTGGAGACCTGCACACTTAGTGGAAGAGAAGTGGGAGGCGTGTGTGATCTCTACAGTGTGGGGTTCCCCTCCAGCAAGTGAGAAGAGGGTTGGGTCATTGGGAGGAGAAGCAGAGGAGCAGATGCTGCGTCCTAGCTGTGTCTCCTGGGCACAGAAAGCAGGTCTGGAGAGGTAGTTTAGGATCGCGGCTGATGTCAAAGCCCCTATTACAGCTAGTCCATCCCTAGCTTGAGAAGTTCACAGTAACTTACCTAAGTGGGACAGTCCATTACCATTGCCCTTAAGACAAGGCTGTGCAAGGTGGCTGGCCTTTTAGATTGAATAAAATATTTTTTTTATTTTTTGGGACAGGGTCCTGCTATGTAGCCCAGGTTGTCCTGAACTCATCCTCCTGCTTCAGCCTCGCTAGTGCTACGATTATAGCACTTGTCACCACACCAGGTGTTAAGGTAGCTTTTAAAAGTGATGGTATATATACTTGTGCACTCTTTTTTTAGTCATTCTACCTTTAGGAATTTAAGAAGTAATCAGGATTATTATTCATCCTAGATCTCTTTATCAATAATGAATAGCTTAGAGGTGTAAATATCCAACAATTAAAGATTGTTTAAGTAAATTATGTATATTCACACAGTGGGATACTAGGCAGCCTTGCAAATACTTGGCTAATAATTGTAAAGATGCCCCCAAAACACATCATGTTCAGGAAAGTATGTACTGCTTTTGTGAAATAAACTATTGAAGGTACTGGCTAGCTGCATACTATGAGCTGGGTCTCTTTCTGGGGACCGGTAACATGGTGATGAACTAGACATGTACGATTCCTGCCTCAGTGAGCTTTAGTCCACTGGGGAGGGTCAGGCCATACTGACTTTGTCACAAAAGCTTTTGTAAATACTCATGGGAGGACTATAAGAATGTACCCTAACATTCTATGACCTGTGCATGCAAAGCAGCTGTCTCTCTGTGTACCTTCTGGTAGCTACGTGTCTGTCCTGAAATTGCTGATTTCTTTCAAATGTTTGAAGTGACTAAGATGTCATTCTCTCCCAGTGGATGAGTACTCTATTGTTATCCTAGCTTCCTTTGAACCTGTGTGAGCGTAAGGGTGTGATGGCAGCTGGTGGCACGGCACCGCTTTCTTCCTCTTTCTCTCCACCATTTACAGAATGTATAGGTAAAAACCATGTCAGGTACAACCCTGTCACCCTTAGGTCACTATTGTTACACTGTGGGGTACACAGATCACTCTGAACTTTTGTCTATAAATACTGGCTGTGTACTGAGTGCATCTGACTAAGTGCTGGAAGTGGAATGCCCAAAGGAGTAATACCGCCAAAGCTGAGTCCTACTGTGCTAGGATGGACTTTGGCATACACTCTGCAATTTTATAAGCATTTTTACAGTTTTCTTGTTAAAATTATAGTTTGGCATTGCCAAACTTAATTATACAAACTTAATTTCATAGCAGACATGATGAGTGCTATCATGATGCGTGATACTTGGTACATGTTGACTTTGAGCCAAGCTGGAGGAGGGAGAAGTAAGGCTGCTACTTGTTTTGTTTCAGTATTATTATCTGAACTAGCTCTGCCAGTCTTCCTTCCTTCCTTCCTTCCTTCCTTCCTTCCTTCCTTCCTTCCTTCCTTCCTCCATCCATCACTCCCTTCCTAACTTTCTTTTCTGACAGGGTCTTACTATGTAGTCCAGGCTGGCCTCGAACTTGTGACCCAAGTACTGGGATTACAGGCATGTACCAGCATGCCTGGTGTTAGCTCTGCCAGTATAATACACTGTGAGTGGTAGCTTGTCTCCAGCTTCCTAAGGTTTTGTCAAATAACTGACCTCTCTCCTCTTTACCTCCTGCACCTGAAGTTTTCCTTGGTGACAATGATGCAGTTTCATTTTAGTAATCTCTTCCCCCAGCTTTGTGCACTGGTGCAGGAGAATATATCTGGATAATCACAGAAACAGAAGTGAGATGGCTGCCCTGTACACATTTTCCCCTGATATTTTTGCACGCACTTGCTGTTTCACACAACCCGTTGAGAGAAAAACGCATCCTTCAGCCTTGGCTCTTGAAGTGTGACGGTGGAGTGCTGTACTGACTTTCAAGATAACAGAGCTCTTCCCGAATCTCCATCTGTATCTCGGCTTTCAGTGCCTGCATGCTAAGCTAATTTCAGCATTTTCCCTGGAGAAGAGGGACAGAGATCTTTCTGGAGGTAGGCTGTGAGAAACGTTTGCTCTCTCAAGGCACTTCGTGTTCACAAGCGACTGTTTTTCCTGTGAGCAGCTGTTGAAGGTAAGCGTGCACTTTGATTTTGTTTGGAGGCTTGTTATGTCAATAATGTTATCTGTGAAGTGCAGCATTAGAGCTTTCTTTTATTCATGAAGACTTTAAAAATACATCATACCCACCCATCCCATCTTTGAACGTCAAGAGCAAGTTCAGGGCCAGCCCAGGATCAAGCCCTTCGGTGGAAGCTGTGCTTTTTTGCCACTGGCTGGGGAGATCATTATTCTGGGATGCACCTGGAATACCCGTCAGCATTTGAAAATGAGCCTTTGGATGTTCACAGCACATATTCAAATGATGTGCCTCCTTCATGTCATTGAGGTCTTCCTGAGATGGTGGCAGTGTACTTCAGTGACGCAGTTATTGACTGTATGCAGTTCAAGGATGCCAGAAGTGACATTTGAAGAAAACATTCTGCTTGTTGGCTTTTCAGACTTAAAATGAAGATCAGATTTTGGCCAAGTATGGAAATTGAAGAAAACTTTGGTAAATTCTTAAATATAGAAGTATATATATATTTTTTGAACTTACTTGGTTTTATTGGTAATGGGGTTGGCGTAGTAATGAAAACTTTTTTTTGGTGATAAAGCTAAAACAAGGTATAAATATATTTAAACTGTTGAGAATCAAAGTTCTCATTGTGGGAAGAGGAAAAGGAAGTTGTCAATATGTAATAGGAGGGTGAGGAAAGGCCCCATAATTCTACTATGAACTTATAATCTAAAATAATATGAACAATATACATACAGATAAACTTGTATTTCTATTTAAGTGCAGATACATTCTACATAGAAGTATATATTTTAAATTGGGCATGCTGGCACATGCTGTAATCCCAGCATGAGGGAGGCTCAGGTGGGAGGACTGTGGGTTTGAGGACTAGTCTGTACTACATGGTGAGACCCTGTCTCAAAAACAGAACAAAACAAAATAAAAGTAATTTTATTTTTGTAGTTTTAAAAAATAGTGTTTCTAATATGAGTATGAGCATATTCCCGTCTATAATTTGCCTTTAAAAAGTACAATTATCATTTATTTAAAAAATATAGTAAGTATATGTATACATAAAATTTAAGTAACTTTGTTTAATAGTGAAAGTGATACCAAAGTTTATTAGGAAATGAGTATACCTTCAATAGAGTGAAAGCGGTCATCTCTAGAGTGAGAATAAGAAAGAGAATGACCTTCAGTAACTTCAGTGTACAATTCAGTGGCATTAAACTCATTCATATTCTTGTGCAGCCATCACCACTGTCCATGTTCAGAACTTTTACATCATCCAACCTGAAACTGTACACATTAAACAACATTCCCAGTCTTCCTTCTCCCCTGGTAGCCCCTGTTCTCCTTTATGTGTGTATGAATTTGACTGTGTCCTCATATAAGTAAATTATACAGTATTGTCCTTTTGTGTAGAGCTTGTTTCACATAGCATAATGTTTTCAAGGTTAATAGGTATTGCAGCATGTGTTAGATTTCTTTCCTTTTTAAGACCAGATACTATTTCATTACATGTGTGTACTACACTTGTATCTAGATGCTGTGTTCTGCTTGTTTGTTTGTCCATTGATGGACAGTTGGGTTGCTTGTACCTTTTGGCGTTGTGAATAAGGCTGCTGTGAAGATGGGTATACAAACATCTGTCTGGCCAAACATCTTTCAGTAGGTTTTTTTTTTAAATAAGGTGCTTTTATAAGGAAAGGGTGTAATAGAATGAATATGGTGGAAATATTATTTACTCATTATGAAGATGGAAAAGTGAGGCCTGCTGAAACTTTTTCAGGAATCGGACGAGGGGTGATAAAGGAGCATGTTGGAGGGGGTGATTTCAACTATGATATATTGTAAGAACTTTGGTAAATGTCACAATGTACCCCCAGCACAATAATAATATGATAATTAAAAAAATCAATAAGGTGCTTCTAAAAATACGTGTCTTGTGACTGACCAGTTTTACCCAGTTTGGTCAAGGAAATTCCTACCTCGCAGACATCAAAACACCCACACACTTTCACCAGTGTTTAGTTGAAGGCATTAGTATTGCCAGAGGTCAAGAGAGCAGTTTCACAACACTTCAGGGCAGTCTCCCCAGCAAACTTGGCAGCAACCTTGAGTGAGGCCAGTCAGGGTTGTTGGAAAACAGCCTGGCGTTTTCCTATCTTTTGATTTGATAGCTCATGACTGTCAGTTCCTCCAAAGGGAAAATCTGGCAGTAGTGTGTGGTTTCTCAGCTTGGTCTGAGCTGGTTAAATTCTCATTAGAGAATACCCTTTCTGGGTATGCTGAAATGAATTAAGTGTTCTGTGCTTATCTATGAGCTTGGCTGGCTGTGATAGCTCTGGACTTTCTGTTGAGGAATGATAATCAGTTTGGGATGTGGCTGAGGTTCTGGGCTACAAGCTGTGTCTGCACAGCAAGCATTCTTGATTTTAATTTGTGTTCTTTCCCAAATCTGCCTAGTACAGGAGGTGCAATGGATAATGGAGAGCAGCATATCCACCTCCCCCACCAGCTCCTCAGGGGGTCCAGTAGCTTGGTGGTGGGCTGTTATCCCGCAGCAACCTGCTTATAGACACTTGCATGGAGATGTAGGAAACTGAGCTTGACTCCCTGTTTTGTGGGCATAGAAGTGAAGTGTCTTGTACTTTTATGGGCCTGGTAACTGGTTGTAAACAACACCATTCAAGTCTGTGTGTTTAGGCTGCACATGACTTATCTGAAGGAGGAGGCTCATCTCAAGTGCACTAACAACTTGTGGATTGTACTTACATTTTTTTTTTCATTTTTCTTTTATTATTCATATGTGTATACAAGGCTTGGTTCATTTCTCCCCCCTGCCCCCACCCCCTCCCTTACCACCCACTCCACCCCCTCCCCCCCCACCGTCAATACCCAGCAGAAACTATTTTGTCCTTATTTCTAATTTTGTTGTAGAGAGAGTATAAGCAATAATAGGAAGGAACAAGGGTTTTTGCTGGTTGAGATAAGGATAGCTATACAGGGCATTGACTCACATTGATTTCCTGTGAGTGTGTGTTACCTTCTAGGTTAATTCTTTTTGATCTAACCTTTTCTCTAGTACCTGTTCCCCTTTTCCTATTGGCCTCAGTTGCTTTAAGGTATCTGCTTTAGTTTCTGTGAGTTAAGGGCAACAAATGCTAGCTAGTTTTTTAGGTGTCTTACCATTAAAGGTCTATTTTCCTGCTGGGGATTGAACTCCTTTTCTGTGGAGTAGATTTTTAAAAGTCCTTAATTTAAATATGTGGCCTCTAGAGAAAAATAACATACATATTTAATATGCAGGCATATAATTTATACATTTAGTTGTTTCTTTTTGGCAATCAGTGGAATATCTTATTTAAAAGGATAATCATAATACTGTCTGAAGACATTGTTTGTTTCAGCATGAAGATGTAATCAGAGAAATTCATCTCTGGGACGAAAGATAATGGGGCCCTTACCATTACAGGTTTGGGTGTAGCGAGTTCACCTGGCACTGTGTCAGATGTCCAGGCCAACCATTGGCTGTGTATGGCTGAAGTCTGTTTTATGTTAGGCATTTGGTGGCTGACTAGAAGTGTGATTTCAGAGGTGGAAAATCTGCTGTGTTTTGGGACTTAACTCAGTCATAGCTGTGGGTCTGCTTGGACTGTGGGGGGTGACAGTGTGCATCCTGTGGACAGATCCAGAGTAACCTGAGATTTTACTGCTGCTAGCTGCATAAGGGGGCAGGAGGCCACTCTTGAGTTTATGAGTGAAAGAGAAGTATGAGCAAATGCCTTGAGAGCGTCTCTACATACAGGGTCTCTCTCTTCCATCTTCTCCCGAGGCTCTTTTTATCTGAGTCTTCCCTGACCACTCCACTGAGATTGCCACTTCATATTACTTATTCATTTTTTTTCTGGTGCTGGGGATTGAACCCAGGTCCTTATGCATGCTAGGCAAGTGGCCTGCCACTGAGCCTTGTTTCCGGCCTTGACGTTACTTCTGGTCTTAGTGCACTAAGTGCTTCATCTTTCTCCTTCTTGATTGTCCTGGAACCCTCCTCTTTCATTTCCTTCTCCCCTTGGGCTTTGAGGCTCTGCATTTCTGGTTCTCTTGTCTTTCTATAGTCCTTAGTAGGCCCCATCTTCAACATCTTGCCTGAGTTGCATGTGTAAATGTGCCAAGGTTCAGCCCTTAGCCCTGGTACGTGCAGGCTGAGGCCTGGTATATGGTGGGATGGACAGGCTGATGTGGGGAGAACAGTGCCCTTTCTTTTGGGGAGGGTGCCGAGAGTATGAGGGTCCCACAGTAGAGGGCTCTGATTACGAGGTTTCAACTAAAAAATTTGCTTACTGCCTGGGTGGTATGGTCAGAGCAGTGGAGGCTCCTAAAACTGAACCATGGAGGAGGAAGTGAGGGAAAAGCATAGAGCTTTTTGTTTTGCACCAAGGCTTCTATCTTGGAAATAAATTCTAGAGGTCACAAATATTGATGTGTAGATTAAATCTGATTTTTCTCAACTTTATTATCTGTATTTTATTTCCAGAACAGTTCATGTAACTCATACTGGTTATTATCAGGGCTTCTCTTCCCGAGGTAAAAATGTATTAGAGTTAGTTAAGATTTTCTTCTATCATTTACCATTCCAGAGGGTGTGGAGGTAGAAATGAGGACAGTGTGGCCTGAGAGCCTCTTTTTATTGTTCAGTTGAATTCATTTGTTTGAACTTGTCCATTTCCATTTTTTCTCTTGATTGCTTTTTTAGCTGTGGAGCATGATGTTAAAAAAAAAAACAGATTACCATAAAATTTTCTCTATTCAGAACCTTTGGAAATGAGTTAGCCTGGCAAGCCAGTTTTTTTCCTCAGAGAATAGAGGCTTTCCGTTTATTTATTTTGTCATTAAAAACTTTTCATCATTAAAATATTTTAAATGTTCAGAAAAATAGGAAGACTAATGCATTGAACACATACATATGTATCTAACACCAAGTTTCATCAAATACTAGCATTTAGATTAACATTTTATATACACGCATGTATGTTTATAAAGTATATATATGTATGTTTGTGTGTGTACAGAGACCGTGCCATCTGGTTGCTGCTCTCTTATGGCTTAGGAGTGTGCCTGGTGAGTGGCAACCTCCAAATAAGCACTATGAATCTGCTTCAGCAGCCTTCTCCTCCCTTCCCCAGATGTAACAGCAACTCAGACAGCTATTGAGCAGGGAGCAGTATCACACTAGGTTCTGCTGGTGGTACAAATGACACTTAATAAGGACTGCTCTCAAGGATTTCTAGTGCCATGATAAAGGTAGGACATGTGACTTCAGAAATGGCTCCTATAGAAACCAGAACATTCTCCTTGCTTCTGTAGAACCACAAAGAGGCTGGTTATCTGCAGTAGTCATTGGAATGACACTTAAAGAGCAGGGATGCGGCAGGGCTTTCCAGACTGACAAGATAGTTGGCGTAGTGGGCGTGGTGTGTGTATAGATTGAAAGTAGTGCTTAAGGGTTGGCTGCACTCTGTTCTGAGAGGGGAGTGTCAACAGAATACAGTGACTAGAGAATAGGGCTGTTGAGCCTATAGGCTGAAAATTAATGGCACAGAATAACATGCTATGTGAAAAACTCACATTCTGGAAGCAGACTGTGATTATTGTGATACAGTAAGAAATTCCTATTTAGTCTCTGCCCCTGTTTTCCTGGTACACAGCTCCTAAAACTTTTGGACTCTCCAGTGCAGAGTACCCGTTCTATCCTAATTTGGTGACTAGTGGCAGGGGGGCTCCTGGATAGTTTCAGGGTGGTTGCTGGTCACCAGAAATATCAAGGCAGGATTAGCGCACTAGGATTTCCAGCCCCCTACCTCTCAGTCTCTACAGAGAAGAGAAGGACTGAAGGTTGAGGTGATCGCAAATGGTCAGTGATTTAATCAGCCATGCTAATGTATTGAAGTGTCCATAAACCTCCAAAGGACAGGGCTTGGCGAGTTTCTAGATGGCTGAACACGGAGGGGGTGCCTGGAGGTGGAGTTCCCAGAGAGGACACGGAAGCTCCAGATCCTATCCTCATCACATATCCGGTTCATGACTCCCAGCTATTTACCTGTAGCCTTTGTCCTTTGTGATAAGCCAATAAATATGCGTTTCTCTGAGTGCTGTGAGCCATCCTAGCAAATTAGTAGGACCTGAGGAGAGGGTCCTGGCAACCCCTGATTTATAGCTGCTGGTCAGAAGCACAGGTAAAGCAATTTGGGACTTGTGACTGGCATTGGAAGTCGGGGGAGTCTTGTGGGACCAACCCCTTATGCTCTCAGATCTGAAACTATCTCCAGTAGGTGTAGTGTTAATTGAATTAGAGGGCACCCTGCTGGTGTCTGCTGGAGAACTGCTGTCTGTACAGAAGAATTGTATAGAATGGTGTATGACACTAGAAAAATATCTTTGTTGTTTTTCTATCTCTATACAGACTACTGTGGATTAAAGTTTAGTTTTCTCCTTTTCTGGCTTTGTGACCAAGGATAAGCCACTCTGGACACTGAGATCCATTTCTTGGGGGAGTGCAGCTCACATTCATGGCAGAGAGGTTAAGCATGGATTTGAGCTCTTATGTAAGTATTCCGTTTGTCTTAAGAGGTCCTTTTGCCTATGAAAATGTGAAATAGGCAGCTAAAAGATGAGCACCTACGGACTTTTTGATTGGCCATATATGTACAAAGTGACTTTGTGGAAATGAGGTCACATACAAAGTGACCTAAGTACAAAGCAAACTTATCTTTCCACCAACTCTATTCCTTCCAATATCTCGTGAAAGCCTACCGTCCTCTCATTCATGAGGATAGAACATCCCCAATTCCTCTTACCCCTTAATCCTTCCAGTCCCCGAAGTGAGTTTATTTCACCCCTTTATTATCTCTTGTGTTCTGTCATGTTCTCAAGCCCTCCATACTTCCTGCCTAGATTTCTACGGTAGCTGCTGCCTGCTGCCATCTCTTCATTCCTTTCTTCCAGTGGACGTCTTTCTAAGCTGTGAGGGTGATCATGGAAGTCCCCACTTAAAAGGTGTCTGCTTCCCATGGCCCATGGGAGAAAGCCTGAGTGTCTTAGTTGGACACACAGGTCTCTCTCCTCCATTGTCCCTTTATGCCCCCTTAGCTGTCCTTCTTTCCCTGCACTTTCTTGTTGCCTGCGTTCTGTCCGCTCAGGCCGCCTTTCCCCTGCTTCCCATGTAGCTTATTCTCTTTTCTGAGACTCGGCTCTTTGCTCTTTCTGCTATTTCAGCTGACTGGCTGCTTAGCATTTCCAGAGCTTGAGGACATGGCCTGTTTTGTTAAAACATTTCCTTAGTGCCACCATGATGTTGGACACATAGAAGGCTCTCAAAAAGATGAGTAGAATATGGATGGGTAAGAAATGACTTTTAAATCTCCCTGCAGCCAGGGCTGAAGGTGGCTTACAGAGGCCTCCCTCATCGCCTTTCTATCTCTCAGTCCTAGCACCTGTTCTGTAGCCCAGCTGTAATGGGGACAGGCTTATAGTTGACGTGAAAGAGGCAGTTGGCATGTGACTGCCCTGTGTTCAAAGTGTATTTGCTGTGTTCAAAGTGTATTTGGTGCCCCCTCCCCCATGCAGAAGAGCAGCGACACCTTACTTTAGTGCTCTCCTTGAGTGCATCTGCAGACGTGACCTCACCTTGCTTGTGTTGCCATCTACCCTGAGTGCTAGATGGAGGGTGAGATTGTCTCTATTTTATAGATGCAAAAAAGGAGATAAAAAGTAAAAAAAGTTGCCCTAAAAAGTTAGTGAGTTGTTAGTGGTGGAAGAGACCAGGCTTACACTTGAGCCTCCTGCTTTTTCTCCTTTTCCATAATCAGCAGAACCAGGTTACATCAAAGCTTTGTACGCACATTCTGCCATCCAAAAGGAAAACTGGTAAATATAGTTGTAATGGAAGTTTTCTGTGTGGATTTGCTTCTGAGTATTCCTTGAAGCTGTTACTTTCCCTAATCCCCATTCTGCTCTGGTTAAGTGGTATGTCTTGCAGAGCATATTCAGTTGGCCGGAATAGCCAAAACCATCAAACAGTGTTCTAAGGCCCACCCTGGAGAGAGATGAAGGATTTATCACATTTCACTTGGTTGGCTTGGGACTATTACTAACCTCAAGCTGTTTTCCTGCCTCACAAACTACTAAAATGACAAGAAGAAAAATTTTAGCACTTCTTAAATTATATACTTTCCATTCTGTTAACTCCTTTAAAAATGAAATGGTTTCTTCTAGTCTAGAATTTTGGAGTCGTGCCTAAACTTACATAGGACAAGAAAATAGCTCACCAGGGCTTAACAATAGATAGTATTCTTAGTTTCCAGGAATTTCTGAATTTTGAAAATTGCAGCTTTTGAAAGTGGCTGTTGTAGGGAAATTATTTCTACCTTGTTTTTATTAAACCCTGTGCTCCTAATAGCAAAGATGAAAACAGAGTGTGATCGAAAATGCAAGGGTAAAATCAATCAGGATACAACCAAGATATTCAGATAGGATGCATGATTTGAGTTTTAGATGGTAGCCTCTTTGTTCCTTTTTTTTTGCAGACATTCTGTTGATTTCTTGAAAATCTGAAAAGTTTTGTTGTTTCATCAATCTGTATCCTTCTTGACTCTTTCAGCATTCCATCCTTGCGCTATTCCACCTCTCTACCTGCACACCCCCCAAGCCTCTATTGGTTTCCATTCTTCTCTGCTATTGGCTACTTTCACCACCATCTCATCATCTCATCATCACATCGATGCTTTTCACTTTATTTTGTCTTTGTATGGCATTTGTACAGATGTATTTTACTTTTTCCATAATGGGAATTTGTACTTATTTGTCCTGCTGTCTTCCTGGAATCAATAACTTAAAACCAGGTTTACGCTGGAATATTTGTAGCAGAAAAGGGCCTTCAAGGTCATTTGCTTTGTTGCCTCATTTTGTAGATGACCTAAGGCTATTTTCTTGTCTTATGTAAGTTCATTTGGTGGACTTTATGTAGAAACTAAGGTTCTTAACCCCTTAGTAGCTCTCAGAGTCTCTACTGACTTGACTCTTGAGGGTATTCTGTCTTTTGCTAGGGAACTTCAGAATTATTTGGCTACCAATTTTCACTCCTTCCTCACAGGTGTCAGATATCCAGTTCTATCATTTATCAAGACCTAACAATCTTTTTTATTTTTTTTGAGCCAGGGTGTCTCTGTGTAACCCAGGCTTGCTTTGAACTCTTGATCCTTATGCTTTAGCCTCATGGGGATTACAGGCTGGCTACCTGCCACCAGTTTCTTTCTGATTTTTTTTTTTTGAGTCAAGGTCTCTGTGTGGCCCATCCTGACCTGGAACTTGATATTTAGACCAAGCTGGCTTCAAACTCACGATTTTCCTGCCTCAGCCTCTTGAGTGCTGGGATTACAGGTGAGTGCCTGGCTTGTTCTGATTTTGAAATGCTGTTTTTCTTTTTTTTTAGTAATTAAGGCTTACCAACAGTAAAGTTCACTTTTGGAGGGTTCTATCTTGGGTGACAAAAATACCAAAACTGGGTTACTTAAGTAACAAATAATTATTTCTTATAGTTCTGTAGGCTAGAAGTCTGGGATCAGAACGTCAGCCAGCATAGTTGGACTGTAGTGAGAGCTTCTGTCCTGGCTCATGGGCTGATGCCTTCTCACTGTCTCCTTACATGGTAGAGAGACTGTCTGTCTCCTCTCCTGTCTTATAAGGGCCCTGATCTCATCATGACCTAATGACCTCCTAAAGGCCCCATCTCCAAATAACACTATTTAGGGGATTAGGGTTTCAATCCACAAGTTTTAGAGGGACACAGATAAGCTCTGTGAATTTCAGTGCATGCATTTATGCACGTAACCATCACCTCAAACAGCACACAGAACAGTTCCATCACCTTTCAGATTTCCAAGGGCTGCAACATGTTTTCTGTTTTTATGGTGGAGAAATAAAAACTCTGTGTTCAAAAGATACTTGAGGGCCTAATGTGAACTACAAGTCAGTTATTAACATCTTTTTTTTGGCAGTGATAGGGTTTGAACTTGGGCCTTGCACTTGCTAGGCAGCTTCTCTACCACTTGAGACACTTCCCCAACCCTGATCAGTTGTTCTATCTATATATTAGTTCTGTGACTTTGGGAAAGTTACTTAATTTCTGAAAGTCATTTTTCTGTATCTTTTAAACAGAGATCTGTATGACAGTACATCTTTTCTGAGGGCTGAGTGAGGGAGGGGTTTTAAGAAGAATGTAGGAAATACGCTGAGCAGAGTGCCTGGCTCATGGTACATGCTGAGAAAATGGTAGCTGCACCGCTTCTGGTCTTTCTACAGACCTCATATGGTTCCAGTGTGGTTTTTGCCCCTTACAGTTACCCACCTCTGGAAAATTGTCCCTTTGTGTGTTTTTGCTTCCCTCTGGAAGCAAGTATCAGAACAGACACATAGTTTAGCCCTTCCCTTTTGGTGTGTTGCTCAGTAATGGCTTGTGTCAGTTGGTCAGGAGACATGGGCTTGAACCAGTTTTGCTGTAGTTGCTGCCCCCTCACTCTTCCTGTAAATGAAGAAAGAATCAGTTACCATGGAGATTCCCATTGCTGACCTGGGTGCTCTATTGCCAACTCACATTTCATACATGAAGCAACCTAGTCTTAGATCTTATAGTGATGAGGAACCCCAGCTCTTATAACAATGGTATATGTAGTGTTGCTGGAATTCTTTTAACTTGTCATTTAATCAAGTGTCTTTCTTAATTGGCCAGGTAATTTGGGATGATTTCTAGGAAACTGGAACTACTTTGAAGAAGTGCCGTTGTTTGAAATGAGTGCTTAAGATTTTCTAAAGCCAGTAACAGAAAAGTTAAAATGAGCCAAATGTTTCACTTTGAGTCAATTCCAGCTTCAGCGTTTGTATAAAAATGTCTAACTTTTACTAATATCATAAAGGGTTGCTCTAGTTGGCAAGGTTTCTGTTTAGGGTGGGATAGAACTAGGGAGTCAAAATATTAGTAAAAAATCATGATACAAGTATGACCTTTTTGAATGATCAGCTCAGTCTGAAGTATGTGAAGCTTTGGAAATGGAAATGATAATATATTTTAAATCAGCTCCCTGTTTGGTAGTTAGATCATGCTTTCACTTAATCTTTCCATTGTTAAGCAGATATCTGATGGTATATTTTATCTGTTGGTCTCTTTAGTCCTCCAACGGCTCTTTGAAATAAGATCTACCCATTTAACAGATGGAAACACTGCGCTATAGAGGCCATTTGACTTGCCCTGTATAAGCTTGGGTCTGACTGAGTCCTGTGTGCTTATCACACACACTCCATCTTGGTGTGCTTGTGATGGAGGCATGCGTCTGCTGACACTCTTCACCAAGAAGGCAGGTGCATCCTCTCCAAAACAGCATCTACTTCCTTCCTGGGGCTTCCTGTCTAAGGTCATCACTTGCCCACCACAGGCTGTGTTGTCCCATTGGAGTCTCCCACTGTGGAGAGAAGATGAATTTTAAAGTTAGACACTCAGGTAGTATCTTCATTTAATTTTACTGCCTTTGTGATTATAGAAGTTTCCTAACTG